ATGATTCTTACTTTGACAAAAAAATGTTAGAGACGATGAGACAAAACTAAATAACGTGTGTCTGTGAGGTTACACAAACAATCGTTCGCGTATAGAGACCGATTGCATATGTATGCGCGAGGAAGATGGATGCATGAAAAAGTAATTCATGTTGCCTGGGAAGAGATTTAGTACGTGCAGTTCCATTGAGAAATTCCCCGTTTTCATGATACTGAGTATTTTTGCTTTAAATTGTACGCTATTGGTTTTTGAAAAAAATAAGTGTCAAAACCAAAGACTGATATTAACATCTCTTTGCAGGTTCAGAACCACCATCGCAACTCGAGCCAGATGTCCAGCCCCCATCACCAGCAACTGAGCCAGCAGCAGCAGCGGCACAGCCCTCACCAGCCGCCCCACCCTCACAGCCAGCCGCACCCATCTCCTGAGTTGCGGTACGGCAGCAGCCGGGAGGCGTTGCTCTACCAATCAGCGGCCGCCGCAGCTGCCGCGAAAGTGGGCGGCGCCTATTCGTACCCCGCCTCCGCGTACACAACGTCCATAGCGTCGACACCGCCTCCTCCTTCGAACGCCGCCTCCGTCAAGCCGAAGGTTAGCAGTCCGGCGCCGCATCAGATATTCGGCAAACCGCCGGTAGGGGGCGGGTCGGCGGGCGTGTCGGTGGTACCGGTGTCGTCGCGACCGCCTCCGCCGTCCCCGCCGCAAGGGGCGGTCGGTACTACACCCATTCAACTTACGGCTAGGCCTCCGTCTACGTTGACGGCTGCCGTGTCACCATCACCTTACCAACAGGTTAGTTGACAGCTTTTACCCATAATTTGAAAGTAAATTTTATATTTTTGAATTTTCCGTGTTAAAAAACGAGATGTCTCCATCCTTGCAATCGACTTACTTTTTAACACGCTTTTATTGGCTCGACCTGCATGTAATGGAATCTTTCAACCTAGTTTTCACAAATTTCAAGAAGTCTTATTAACATGAACATATGCACAGGGGTCAAGAGCCGATGACAATAATTTTGGAAAAAAATGAATTTGAAAATTTGGAAAATTATCGAAAAATTCAGAAATAATGAAAGATTTGGAGATTTTGAAAAACTCTTGGAAATTTCTAAATTTGAAAAGATTTAGAAGCAAGTTATTTGTCAAATATAAAATATACCAAAAATCGGGCTCTTATTTATAAGTACTTTCCTTATCGTTTTGAGATTAGAAATTCAGAAAATAAATTATAGTTTTCAATATCAAGTACCCCGCGCTTTTTTACTATGATTGAATTTCGTTTTGATGTCTCAATTTTTATTGATCTTATTCCAAATTAATAATTGATTGTTGGACCTTCTATTACAGTACCACAAACTCTATACTTGAAAATCATTTTCCACTTTTCAGTTCGATTTGCTATTAAAGCGTTTATTTTTAGTTTTTTTTTTTTTTTATAAATTATAAATCTTATCAATGTATGCCTATTAATCAGGAAATTAGGAAACTTATATTTAAACCGCGGAACCCGGTTCCAGTTAATGGATTTTTTGAGATTTTTAGTGGAATAAAAAACTATTTATGAAAAAGGTTGCCTATTAAATTAGGGAGCTTTTGATATTCATTTAATTTATACTGCTTATTTCGGAATGGTGGTGCTATCAAATTTGTACTGGGCTTTCGAAGTTTAACTAACAACTAAGCACGCCGCTGGTTTGTTGCTATAGAATCAATCTCGAATGTTCAAATCAATTTTTCTACAAAAATAGCAGCAGTCTGACAAAACTGCTAAAAAAGCAATTGAATTGAAAATACAGATTGATCAAAAAAATCAGTAGCGTAGAAAATAATTTTCAGTTTCTTCTGTAGTGCTGAAACTTTGCCAATTTCCATGCCAATGTAGTCTGAAAAGTGAACAATTTTGCATGTTGTTAATGCTGCATGTACAAAATTTTAATTCATTATCTTAGTACAAACTGAAAATGTTTTTCCAATTTAAAAACATGCTGTAAGGAAGCATTTTGGGCCAAATCTTTATATGAACATTTCGCATTATTTTTTGATCTACTGTATGCCCCTATAAATATTGCCTCTGTTTTCTCAATCACCCTATATATACGGTTTAAGGCAACTTGCCTTATAGTTTTTCACATTGTATTTTTTTGTAAATATTAAACATTAAAATCGTCCCTAAAAAAATATTTTTCTTTATTCTTGTTGCCACAATTATAATGGAGAGCGGCAAATTTTGATAAGTAAAATTTTTCAACAATGCAATCGAAAATGTTTCACGAATATCCGTTCAGTCTTACGGGTTCCGAGGTTGTGATATTCGTATGTCTTATGGCGCTCTACTATAAATCCAATCCTTTTTGTTGCAGGTATCCCAGTATCATCCGCCTCATACGCAATCGCCCGCCCTGATGACGTGCCCGCCCCCGCCTCCAGCGCACTCTAGTCGAGCCACAACCATCCCCTCCGCCGTATCGGCGACGGTTTTGGACCACCGCTATCCCCACCACTCGCATCACCACCACCATTCGCATCATCCGCCGCCCCCGTCGCCTCACCAGCACCAACAGCCGGGGGCGGTGTCGATGGGCGGATATGCCAAGATGGCCGCGTCGCCGCCCACGGGCGCCTCCGCGCCTATGCCTGCTATACCTAGGGGACATCCGGCGCATCATATGCCGCAGCAGCACCACCAGTACGCCGCCCCCGCGCAGCCGCAGATGCCGCCGACGTTGCCGCCCCACCATCAGCCGCTTGACGTGAGTCCATAGTTTATCCTTAGTGATGTAACTACCCGGTACAAACTGCCCGGTACTTGGAGTATGGCAGCTTTTGTGAATGCAAAAATAACACGTTCCTAGGTTTTTCATATCATTACATGTTTCACTACAAAATTTACTTCGTCATTAGAGATGACACTGATGAACGACGGCGAACCTTCTTTACTTTTTCTTTTAATGCTTGTCAGGAGATTGAGCTAGGGAGACTTCTCTGTCAAGGAAACGTTGAAAGATACAGTCCTTCGGAATCTAATAGATCCACGCTTACTGATTTTGGAAATAATCGTTATCCTATAAAAAATCTATCCAACGAACGTACTGATTAATAAAACAAGTGACAGGGCAGCCCGATTTACCCCGCACAACTACCTGCAAAACCGATAATGCGTTATCGCGAGTGGCGTGTAGGTTTTAAATGAGGTACCATTTAATTTATTTTCACTGTTTCTTCTATCTTTTCATTACTTTCAAGGTGATATAAGGTTTATTACATTGATATATTAAATATGCTGCCCCAGTTTATGATTCGTTAACTTTACATGTTTTTTATATTACAAAAATAATTTTAATACCTGGGAAAAAATAAAGAAAATGGCTCAAAAATTAAATTATTTTTTCGATTGGATTCTGGATCTTTTTAATTTAATACCTAATAATAAATCTACCTGCATTCATTACCACGTTTATTTCCACGGCTCTATCCGGATAGACTTTAAAGTGGATTATTCCAATCATGTGTAATTCTGACCGTTTATTTTGGCAATCCACAAGTCAAACCAAAACTGATAACGTCAAATCTTGGACAGAGGGCTCCTTCGAAATTAGCGGTCAGGATTAACACAGGATTGGGATAACCTACTTTGAAGTCTATCCGGATAGAGGCCGTAGAAATAAACATGGTAATTATATAAGTATGTTTAGGGATATAGGTCCTTCGTCATTATCCAGTAAATATACAAATTACATTTATTAACTAATCGCTATCACTATCAGTATAATCTGAAGATTCTTAATCGTTTCCTAAGTTAATAATCACGGGTTCAACCACTCTTTCCATACTTCCTCCTTCTCGACATGTTCGATTGATTTTTTTCCAATTCTCCGGAGTTACATTTTATACCGCGTGGTAAAAAGCTGCTGTGCATCTGCGATCTTGAAAGTTGCTTTGACCATATCGCTGTCAAAGGGAACATTATGCTTTCGTAGCCATTCTATTTCCCATTTTCTGTTTCCACTGTTTGGTGCTTTATCAATACCTCTACTATAGTATGAAACATTGTCCATAACAATGACAGTGTTCTCTTCTAGACGGCTTATAATATTTTCAAACCATTCTTCAATTAAATTGTCATTCATGTCGGCCTGGTAGTCTCCTGCTTGTTTTGATTCAAATACCAATAGTTCGTCTTCCACGAAGCCATTATCAGATCCGATGTGTAAGATAATTAGCCTTCCAGGAAGGCTTGCCGAGGATGCTCAACTGATGAATCCACCCATACTTTGCTAACAGTGTGCTCTGCATTGAGCCAAGTCTCTTCTAGGTAGTATATCTTCCTGCCTTCTTCTCTATACCAGATTTCGAGTATCTACATCTCCAACATATCTCGTCCATTTCTTTCAAGATGCTATTTCGCTTCCTTCCTACAAAACTAAAAATTACATTAAATCTTTCAATTCGTTGAATGAATGAACCATATTATACGAATAATGAATTTCAGGTGATTCATCTTAACAAAATTGCAAATTTAGTTCAGTCATAAAGTATAGATAAAGAATGATAAAAAACATAAAAAAGTCAAACTATTTTTGTGTGTGAACATTTTACGGATTTTTTGTTTTGTATTTTACTTTCAAGGAGAAATAAAAAACATCGATCTTTTGAAGTCTGGCAAGACGTCGACGTCGTTTATTGATAACAAAATTTTGTCCAATGTGGGTGGTTCGTTTCGGAATAAAAATTCGTGTTCTTTTGTGCTGTTATATCTTATATACACTGCTACTTGATGCTCCTGAAAACAAATTAATACATTTTTCATATATTATATATACATGCATTAATAAATAATAAAAATAATTGAAAATAAGTTTTAAAAATCAAAATGTGTGCAATAGAAGTAGCTATCATATTAGTGGGTACCTAAGATATTTAACAGAAAATAACTATTATTTAGAATAATACGTCAAACTGCAATACATTTTAAATCATACTTCAAAGCTAAATCCTCACCTGATGCTCTTGAAACAAAGGCTACACGTTCTGTCTGAGGTTCATTTGGATAGCGGTCCCGAGAAAAATCAACAAACATATCCTGAACACGAAATCAACGTTGGAAAAATCGCAAAATAAAAACCGGTCATATCGTGCATACAAAAACAATTTTGGGTGGTAATAAGAAAATGTTCATTCAGTAGTAGTCTGGATAAATTTAACTTTTTTATGAAATTTTTATATGTAACTCATCATCATAGCAACTCAAGATGTTTGGCATAATATTTTGTTTCACAAGTTTAACGACTTGATGGCAAAGAAATTCTTGGAAGGCATTAATCTATGTTATGTGTCATAAAATCATTAACATTGTCCTTTTTATTTCATTTTCCTAGTATCCTATCTATTTATATTACACCCGTCTTTTTATGTATCTTATTACGCTCGTATTAGGCTCCATAGTCCATACATCATGTATAATTATCATATCGCTATTGTTCTATGTGACTGAACTTGAGACGTTGCATGTTTATGTAATGTTTGCATATAGTGCGACGAGACTCGGGAAGCAGAAATTCAAAACCTATGTTATCTTCTACCATACAGTACAACGTCCCAAGTTTAGTTTTTTTTGTAATAAAAGAATTGGAATAATTTTTTTTTTGATATGTCACTCTCCGGTCTTCGTCAAGCAGTTTCCTCACAGGAGTAATGTTTTCCTCTGTTACTGACGTTCCTCGCAGCGTCCTCCAGAGTGAAATTATACCCCTTTGGAATCCTCTGTACCACCTGAATATAATCGTACGATGAGGACAATCATTCTTTAATACAAGCATCATTTCTTCTAAGCTTTGGTCTACGTTTAAACCACGCGTAAAGTTATACCGTATCTCACTACGTGACCACGATGCCATAGTCCGTAATTTACACTGTCAATACGAATGAACAACTAAATCAACAGACGTGCTGCTGGATGCTACTATGCACTTATAGACATGTCTAAACACGCAGCCTCCTCCATCCGTTTGTGGTCTTGTAGGAAAACTTTTATAGCACACTTTTACATTGCATTGTTTGTCGCCAAAATTGCGTAATTTTAGAGCAGACTTTGGACTCATGTGTCTACTAATGCCTGCCAAACTGTCAGCATTGTATCAACATAATAATAATACTTAACAGTGGAAACATCTACCTTCATTAAGCTTGTACAGGTCTTTGCAAATTATTTAACAAGTAAGTGTTTGAATGGTCAATCACAATTCACACCACAATTATCTGCAAACACTCGCTCTTTTCAAAAATTACACTGATTTAATGACAGAACTGTCAAAAAATTGGCTTACGTCAAGTGCACTTGGATCCTCACGATGAGAATTAGAATACAAACAAATCCGACTGACTGTTTCTATCTAGTCGACTACCCGTTAAGTATTGGAATCTATAACATATTTTGCGTATATCACCTGTATGATTGGAGGTGTAAACATCCATTATTTAACCTTGAAAAGCGGTATCTTTTTCTGATATCACTCCCTATAGTAAACAAGATAAACCCGGTGCAATAGTTTTGTATGTTTTCACGTCAACACTCCATATTACACGTAAACATCCATTTATCCAGGTGCAGACGCAACCGTTGGACCTCGGCGTCAGTTCGAACAAATCAGACAGCGGCAGTAATCAATCGATGTCGCCGAAACGCAAGTCTACGACGCCGGTGAGCAGCGCGATGAGCCCCGTCTGTCTGGAGGTGAAGAAACGGCGGATAGACCCTCCTGCGACGCCGCCCATGACTACACAGCCGCAGTTGCAGCAGCAACAACAGCCAATGGGCGGCATCTACACGGGGCCGCCATCGACTGGGCAGCCCCCGCAGCAGTTGGCGCGCGTCTGCGAACCCACTCCGCTCATCGCCAGCGCGGCCACCACCATTACCACGGTGAGTTTGTGTAACAAGATGTCGGGAGTGTGTGTTATGTCGATATCCGGCCAGAAGGACCATGTACGGTGAAATAACAGTGTTTTTGACTTAATTTCCAAAGATACTACGGTGGGTGCAGTTTAAAACAATTATTAGCGACTGTTTATCGATTTCGCGGCTAGAAGGACCATAAATTTGTCCGGTTCAAGCATCGCGTGAGTATTGAGTTCAAAGATTGACAGTTCAAAATGTCGGCGAATTAGGGTTTTGTCGATGTTGCGGGTATTCGGTTAAAATGACTATATTTCGGCTTTGTTTATAGAGCCATAGCTACAGAGAGCTCACTTCAAAATAACAGAAATCGAGTGTTTAGTTTTTTTCATGGATGTCTACATAGAAAGATCATATTTGAGATTGAAGATTGAGGCGTTTTATGGAGATTCAGTGTATTGCTAGCTTTGTCCGTGTGATATATCTGCGATGATTTTTAATATTAAAATTGCTGAGAAGACGATTCATATGCTGCTAAGGAACATGTTTTGACGAAGTCAGATTTTTACGAAAACAGCAGAATATAGCCGCGACGAATGTTGTTTTGTTTTGCGATATTGAATTTCCTTGGTAAATGGATCATAATATACGGCACCACAGTCCTGTTTTTGAGTTTGAGGTTCGACACTAAATGAGTTGTAATAATGGTTTTGTTCATAAAAAATCCTTATAGATGCCGTTTTGCGTTTTGATATTGAATGTATCTGACACTGTGGCAAGAGGTCCATACCTACTGCTTCGTTCTGTTTAGTTTAGGTTATTCGATTTCGCAATTTTGAAAATATTTTGTTACCTACTATGAACTTGATTTCGATAGGACTTTCCATTATACTGTCAAGGACGGCAATTTTGCATATTTAAAAGAAAATAGATTCCATCTTTCTCCAAAAAGTATATTCTCCGAGTGTTGTATGAACGAGAGATAGCAAAACTTGCTCCTAGAAGTACAAACAAACATGTGCTTAGAATGTGAGCCTACTTCTGGCATGGAGATGTCAGATGCGGTGCATATAAATAACATTTATGTTTTATGTTGACGATTTCTAACAAAATATTTGATAACTTTCCAACAGCCTCATCGTGGAAAATAAACGTAAACAATATATTTCAGCTATTGAATATAAATAGATAGGGAATACATCGCTTCTTTTCTAATTATGCAACTCAAAAGACGATATTCACGATAAATTCTGTTCCCCACTATAAAATATGCATTAACACGAGTGTATTTATATAGATCTTCCAAAAAAAAAAATATACATTCACAAGATGCATTTTTTAAAATTGATACAGAATTCAACCTTGAACAATGGATGATTCTACGCCCATGGTCAAGGTTACAGCGAAAAATGATACCAGTGGGTCAGGTATTGCGAACATTTAGGAAGGGGACTCTTTTGTATCGCCTTCTCTTTCACTCTACCTGCAAATTGTATGTTTCTCTCCTTATTCTTGGACTGACCCAACCACATCTGGACTGGTTACAAAGAACCACATTATGCTGTTTTCAGTTGAGCCCTGAAAGATAACTGTTAGCATGCATTTTTAGTGCATTGTTTCCGTGAATTCGTGATATATTATTGTAGTAGTGCAAAGTTGAAAGTGTTTTTCGCCTCCAGTTTTACAGAAATATTTTCATTATTGTTCAGGTAATAGCGTTCCTAAAGATTGTTTTGTATGTTGTAAACGACAGGTCGTTCATTGTAAGTTTGGAACGTATCCAAACATCGAAAGCTTCTGTTACAGTAGCAATGTTTGATTTTTGAAGCAGTTATTGATATTTTTGGATCAATGAAAAATGTTGGATAGATAAAAAGCACGTAGTTCAATCTATACTAATTTTCTTTATCTGCGACTGGGCGGCGACTTTAAAATAAGTTTTACGCGGGTGATAAGTAGCTAATAACAATGGAGTCAAGTAGAGACTATAGTCCTCCACCCCTAATATTATATTTCTTTTTCGGAAATATTCGCAATCACAATACTTCCTCGCCAATAGGCGTGGGAAGTGAAAGTATACTTTATGAGTAGGTTTTCCGGACGTTAAATCTCACTTTTGAACCTATAGTCTCCTTCTTCCCAGGGCGGTAAAGTAACTTGAACACAATATTTCAACCACGGGTACTGTCCTTATTTATTCGTTGCTAGGCGTCGGCGCAACTACCAGTGATCCAATAGTACGGTGAATTTATTTATGGTTTTATTACCATACACATTTTGTGTATATG